GACACAGGCATGGATGTGAGGAGCTGCTTGATGAGGATCCTGAGGCTTGCCCGTCTCTCCCTCACTTGGGAAGAGGACAGAGTTTGGGGGAAGAGGCTGGTCGTGAGCTGTATGTAGACTGGTGAGGCCCTGAGAAGGGGCCCTCCCGGAGTTTCCTGGGGCGAGGCCTAGGTTAGAACAGCTGTCTGGGGTGTGAGGCAGATGGGCTCTGCATCTCTGTGGGTGGCAGGAAGAGTCCTGTGTACTCAGGAGTGCAGGGGCCCGGGGGACAGAGCAGCTGCCAGGGGCTTGTGGGCCGGAAGGGAGCAGACAGGGAATTCCGTGGGTGCCGGATGAGCTGGCCTGGAGGAGCAAATGAGCTCCACCCTCCTCCCAGGTACTGAGCAAGCCCACCTGCGCTCAGGACCATTCCAGGACCTGTGGGGGATGAGAGGACCAGCCAGCCTTTGAGTTGACAAAACGAAATGCCTGCCACCTCAGGGGAATGGAGACCACAATGTAAAAGTAAGGATGAGACACAAAACCAATTCTTGCACACCAAAATGTGTGTATTGAAATGCTAATCTGCTGTAAGACAGAAAACCCGGAATCTATAATATATACATGAAAAGGAAACCTACAAACAAAAGACAAACAGTAAGCAGGGGTAATTATTACACCATACATGACAAAAAGTACTAATATTCTTCATATATAAAGAACTCTTATAAATCAATAAGATAAAGACTGACAACCATTAGGATAATTCATAAAAAAATATAAATAGGCAGTTCACATAAAAAGAAATGCAAATAACTTCTTAACATTTGAGACATACTCCTCAACCATAATTAGATAAATGAAAATTAAGATTACAATAAGACACCGTTTTCCACCAATCAGATGGGCAAGATTTCCAAGTTTAACAAAGCCTTTGGCTGGTGAGAGAGGGGTGAGGGAACAGCCTTTCTTTATGCCTGTAGATGGGAGTGTGAATTGGCACAGCCTCTCTTGAGAGCAAGTTGGCGAGATCTATCAAAATCAAAGCACACTGTCCTTTGACCCTGCAATTCCAGTTCTAGAAATTTACCCTGCAGGTATATCCCCACATGTCCACAAGGGTATTTGTTCAAAGATATTTGCAGTAGCATTATTTGTAGATACAAAAACAAACAAACAAAGAATGAACACCCAAAAAACAAAAACTCATCCCCCCCCCAAACCAAATGTCTATGAATAGGGGACTGAATAGATACACACACACATACATGCATACATACATACATACATACATACACATCACTGGAATGCCATGTGGCCATTCAGAATGAGTTAGATCTGTGTGTGCTGATATGGAAAGATCTTGGAGCCACATTGTTAATTTAAAAGGAAAGCAAGGTGCAGAGCGCTATGTATAGTTGTCTGCCATTTATATTTTTAAAAAGAATTCACATGTAAATGCGTGCGTGGTTATGCATAGCCATTTCTAAAAAGGCACAGAGGTTAAGCAAATCTATATACTCTCACTGGATAATTCTGTAGTGTTTGAATGGTTCGGTATCTGTGGGTGCTTTATTTTTTATTTATTTAGTTTTTTTGAGCGAAAGCAAAGTTTTATACAGAAACTGCTGCAGGGAGGGGACCCAAACAGGTTGCCGAGTAAATGCTCTATTTTTATAGCAGCAAGTGAGGTAAAGGGGGGCAGGACGAAGGAGCAGCGGGAGGAAGACACACACACAGTAAGCACTTTTCTGCTGGCCCAGGCCCGAGGCCGTGCATCTGTGCTGGGAATCAGTGCTTTCCACGTGGACAGCCTCAGACTACAAGGACAGCGCTGAGTCACAGCCAGCCTGGGAGCTGTGACGGAGTCCACAGCCTCCCACGAGCAGGCTCTGCTGACGTGTGCCAGACGGTTTCTCTTCCAGGAAGGAGCACTGGAGGGGCCCGAGGTGGGGCTGGGGAGGATCGATAAGGAGGCACCTGCCGGGAGAGACAGAAAAGTAGCCCTTTGTCCCCACCGGGTTGTTGTCACGCTGCCAAAAGACTTCCTGTTTCTTAGCAAAATCTACCTAATCTCGAAGGTGAAATCAGCAAGGAGTTTTAGAGTCATTTCAGGTTATTATTGGGAAGAGTGCAAACGTTTGCACAAGATAAAACAAGACAGTCAGAGTCTAATATCAGACAAGCAATGAGGGAACTAGAAACATCAATTCAAACAACATCAAATTCAAACAGGGGATCCCATGTCCCACCGAACGGGTTAGTAAAAGGGTAAGGATTGCTGCTACTCAGTGCTGGGAGAACGTGGGAGATAGGTGCACTCAAGCACGGCTGGGGCAGGATGGGATTATAACCCAAACTATAAAATGAGTCCATATTAACATAAATCAAATGATTGAATAAGTTAATAAATGAGGAAAAAACATATCGTCTGTGCAGAACAATTTAAAAACAGAAATGGCCCAGCCATTTCTGTTTGGCTCTGTGGATAGAGCGTCAGCCTGCCAACCAAAGGGTCCTGGGTTTGATTTCGGTCAAGGGCACGTACCTTGGTTATAGGCTCCTCCCTGGCCCTGGCCCTGGCCCTGGCCTGAAGTATGCAGGAGGCAATCGATGTCTTTCTCTCACATCGATATTTCTCTCTGTCTTTCCCTCTCCCTTCCACCTCTCTAAAAATCAGTGGAAAAATATCCTTGGGTGAGGATTAAAAAAAAAAAAGGAATATATATAAAAACAGAAATGCACACAAAGTACAGAAATTCTCAAGACAATGTCTCAGTTTTTTCAGAAAAAATTATATATTCGTGTTACTTGTCTATAAATATTTTGCTTAGAAAAACTTTAAAAATCTAAGGGAGGTGTCATATTTACTGCATTTAAGTTTGCAAATGTATATATGTATATACATTTATACATGTAACATACATATGTATATGTATCTAGTTATATATGCACTAGAGGCCCAGTGCACAAAATTCGTGTATGGGGGGGGGGTAACCTCAGCCCAGCCTGCACCCTCTCCAATCTGGGACCCCCTCGGGGGATGTCCGACTGCGGTTTAGGCCCAATCCCGGGATCGGGCCTAAACTGGCAATTGGACATCCCTCTCACAATCCAGGACCACTGGCTTCTAACTGCTCACCTGCCTGCCTGCCTGATTACTCCTAACTGCCCATCCTGATGGCCTGGTCACCCCAACTGCCCCCCCTGATGGTCCGGTCTCCCCCAATTGCTCCCTTGCTGGCTTGGTCACCCCTAACTCCCTCCCCGCCGGCCTGGTCACCCCTCACTACTCCCCCCGCCAGCCTGGTCTCCCCTAACTGCCCCCTCTGCTGGTCTGTTCGCCTCACGCAGCCTGCTGTTCGGTCGTTTGGTCGCCCCACACAGCCTGCTGCTCAGTTGTTTGGTTGGCCCTCACTAACTCCTCTGCTGGCCTGGTGGCCCCATGCAGCCATTTCAGTTGTCCGGTTGTTTCAGTTGCGACGGTCACTTAAGCTTTTATATGTATAGGTTTGCTAATTTAAATGTAAATATATAAATGTGTTATGTTTAATATATATATATATGTATACAAATTGATTTCAGAGAGGAAGGGAGAGAAAAAAAGAGATAGAAACATCAATGATGAGAGAGAATCATTGATTGGCTGCCTCCTGCATATCCCCTACTAAAGATTGAGCCCACAACCTGGGCATGTGCCCTTGACTGGAATCAACCCTGGGACTCTTCAGTCCTCAGGTCAATGCCCTATCCACTGAGCCAAATCGGCTGGGGATACATATATATAGTGCACACATACACACACGCACACACACACACACACACACATACACATGCACGTGCCCACACATGTATGCTATGGCACCTTAGACCTGGCAAAGTTGCAAGAAACTTAATTCATGCATCCATTGCTGTGAGCAGTGGAAGTTCTCACATGCCTTTTGGACAGCACCTTGGCAATATCTGTCAAGAACTAGAAAAACATTAATGCCCTTGAGCATGGTAGTTTCTTTTTTTCCTGACAATTAATAAGAAAATATAAATCCACAAGAAAATACAGCAAAGAAAGCAAATTGCATTTTTGTTGCCCTCTAATTTAAAGGAGCAAAACTGGCAACTAAATGTCCCACAGAAGGTAACAAAATGACAGTCACTTGGTGGAATATTATTTAATTACTAAAAAGCATGATATGAGGTCTATATAGGAGCATGGAAAATGCCGATGAGCATTTATGAGAATGAAGCATAGAGCAAAACATGGAACTATACTTGAATGAGGACTCGATAGAAATAGGCACACAGGGGCTGGAGGCCTGGGACACTGAGAGGTGGGGCCGTTGGCACCTGGGCCCTTTCCCACCCCATCACACACCCAGCCCTTCCTCCCTCATCTGGCTCCTAAAGCCGCCAGTGAAGTCGTCACTCCAGGGCATGGAACGGGTGCCCCACATATATTTTGGAAGAAATGTTTTATTAATGTTGCTATGGTGTTCTTTAGTACCACTTGAAAAATTTCTCCTAAATATTTACCAGTGGACCTGATTCAAACTTGAACAGTGTCTGTCAATGCTTGAGTCCCCACCAAGGCCTAACCCAAACCTCCCACGGTTCACACATGCTATTCAAAGTTTCCATTGCCATCGTTCAGTCACCTACCGGCCGCCTCTCAAACGTGCACAAGAAAGCCCCTGTGTCTTCACATGAAGCTGAGGATTTTAAAAGGTCAAGCAACACTCAGGAAACAGCTGCTCAAAAGTTGAAGGGTTTTCCAGGGAAATGCTTGCATCTTATCTGGAGAACCTAAGAACCAGGACACCCCACAGCTGGGCTAGTTTACTTTCGGTCCAGGGGAAGGGGCTGAAGACCTCTATAGTTTGGTGGGAACTAAAAGTGGGGCTGGCCACTCGGGTGGGGACAAGGATCTTGGGCACTGCTGCGACAGAAATGGAGTGTGGCCACGGTTGTCGTAAATGTCGTAAATGTCCTAGGAGCACATGAACAAGAGTAGAAAATAGGTGATATTAATTTTAATATATTTTGTTTAATCCAAAATCCCCAAAATATTATTTCAGAATATTATTATAAGAACTATTCATTGTTACTTATTTACATTCCTTTTTCATGCTAAGTCTGTGAAATCCGGCGTATATTTTCTACTTACAGCACATTTCAGTTCAGATCAGCCATATTGTGAGCAGAAGCCACCATATCAAACAGCGCAGATCTAGAACTTTTGTGTTTCCTTTTTTTCTCTTTTTTTCACTTCCATTCCTCTCCTCCCTTCCTTCTTTCTTTCTTTGAAAAAACAGACTATTCTTTGGGCATTGAGACATAAGTCTACCTGCCTGCAGCATTCACCCAGGCATTGAATCCTGGGAAGGCTTATTTCCCAGAATCCCCTCCTGTCCAGTGGCTCTTCCTTCTGGAGTGAGGCTGCATGTCCGCAGGCCCCTGGTGAGGATCGCTGCACACATCCAGCCCCCACACGCTCACCCTCCGATTGGGCGGAACCAAGGTAAGCTGTCCCTCCCCACAGTGTGATGGGGGCAGGCGTGGGCAGGCCCTCTATTCTTCTCTGGCAGAGTCTTCAGTATTTGGCAAGACTCCCAGGCCTCCTTCATGACTGGAGCTGCACTTTGCATGGGAAGTTGGCTGGTGGCCAGACGGGTCTTCTAGCTTGGCGAGTCTCCACATCCCTTTCTGGGCCTGAGAGGGGCTTTGATCCCCAAAGTAGCGGCCTCGCAGAATTAATCACACAGCAATCCTGGAAAACTGCTCTGGGACATACACTCTTGCAGAAGAGACCTTGAGAGGAGGACCGGAGGGGTGGGAGGGGTAGAGAGTAGAAAGTCATCTTCTAGGCATCATTTTTACCAGAAGTTATTACTTCTTTATTTGCATTTCCTTTCATTATCAAAGGAAATCACACACACACACACACACACACACACACACACACACACACGCAACTGTAGTTGCCATGAGCCCCAAAGCGCTCGCTGGGCTGTGTGTGAGTCGGCACATCCCTGGCTTCCCGCACTCGGGGCAGCAGGAGGCACTGGGAATTTCTCAAATGTTCACAAGAATGTCGAGAGGGAGTTCTGAGTAATCACAATTCCTTGAACTCCTTGTGGGAAAATGCTCCAGATTTCCTTTTAGAGACCGTAGTCTTTGAAAGCTGTTTGCCATGAGTTTTCAATTGTTCATGGTTCAGATAGCGGCAAAAGTGCACGCCCCTGGAAGCCTCCAGCAAATGAAAAGTCCTGCCACGGGCGTCACGGCCCTGAGCGCCGGCCCAGAGGAAAGGAATTCTGCAGCTGCCGCCAATGCCTGCTGCACTTCTGAGCCACTCAGCTCTGGTGTTTTGGCTGTGAATGTGATCAGCCTAACCTATTTCTGTCCTTCTTGTTACCCTTTTCTCTTAGGGACCCACCCTTTGGGGGCTCCCCTGCCTCTGTTCTCTCCTGCTCTGTGGGACACCCCCTCACCCCGGGGATGAGGCTGGGAAATCTCGGTCAGTGCCTCATCATCTCTGACTTCTGATCCCCAACTTCCAGGCAGACAATCAGATTAAGTAAGGAGAAAGCAAAGAATGAAAAGGAAAGAACGGGGGTCGGGGGTGAGGGCGGGGGGTGGGGGGAGCCAACCCAGGCCAAGCTGCCTGGTCCCTCTCTGCAGTGGGGATAACTGAGCTGCTGTCCCATCCACAGCCCCAGTGGTGGGAGGAGATGCTGTGGGGCCGGCGGAGCCTGCAGTGTGGGGATCGGTCAGCCCCCTCCGTCTGGGCTGCCTGACCAAGGCCCAGGAGTGGCTGCTCACTCCCCCCAGCCTGGCCAGGCTGGCCTCACCTGGGCTCTCAGCACCTGCCACCAGGCCTTTGTCTTTTTTAAGAAGCACAATAATGAAACACTCTTTTGAGGGTCTCCGCCAGCATGAACTTTCTATAATTTGGGACACATGGACCTCTTGCCTGCAGCTAGCCGCCAGCTCACTCTGTGGAGGCCCAGGATCCCTCGTGGGAGACCACACCAGCGCCGCTCCTGTTCACTAAGACACAACTCGACAGGGAGGACCCGCCTGGGAAAGGATGGGCTTTCGGTTTTGTAGCAGCTTCATTGTTTCTTCTGCTGCTTGTTCCGTCATCTAATCATCTAACAGACATTTATGGGAACCCGAGGGGCTGGGGACCAGCCTGGGCACCTCCGTCCTGGCTCTGAGGCCCCACCTGCACAGCTGGAAAGGCCCACCTCTGGTGTATCTCCGGTCTCCCTCCTCCCCCCAGGTGGAGAGACCTCACTTTGAAAAGTGCCTACAGAGCAGTTTCGCGCCTTGTAAATGAGCTTTGGCAAGCGCGCAGCTGAGTCACAGCCTTGGTGACACAGAGCACGTGGCTTTACATCGCCCAGAAGTATGACTGGCACCCCAGCCGGTGCCTCCCCACCCCGAGGGGGTTCCGGGTGAGCCACTGTCAGCTCAGAACAAGGGACCCGAAGATGATCCCCCTTGTTTCTGAAAGCCAGCTATTGAGTTTCAAGGCCTTGTCCGTACATGGTGAATTCCTTGAAGGCAGTTGAAGTAACCACTGATTTTTTGTTAATTACCTAAGCTAAGTGCCTTTTTCTGAGAGGAACAACTTCCCCTAAGAGTCTCCTGAGCTTGCGGAGGTGGGGAATGCGCTTACTTGGGAGTTGAGTGGGGCGATCTGGCCCAGGTCAAACACTTGCTGGTGATTCCTGGCCCTGGAAACTCATGGCTGACCTGCTGGGGAGCTCGCTGCACATCTGCCCGGTCACAGCTCACTCTGGCCTCCCCCAGAGCCACAGTGGGGGTCTGCCTGACCCTGGCATGGTCACACCTCTCCTGTGCAGAACAGAGCAGAGATGGGAGAAGGCAGTGGGCGGCCACTCTGGTGGCCACCAACCAGCTGGAAGCAGGCAGCCGGTGGCTTGTTAGTGACAAGCTAAGGCCTGACTCATGGCCCCGTCACAGGCCCCGGGAGGACTGACCCACAGAGGAAATTACACAGCACTCTGTGGCCGTGGCACAGGCAGGGACTTTTCCAAGCGCATCAGCTGGGAAGCAGCCTTCACCCACACTGGAATCTGAGACGTGGGGACCCCCACTAACTTCAGGCCAGTCCTGGTGACTGTCGGGATGGGTGGCCTGTGAAAACCCCTTGCACAGTTCCCCATTGGCTGGCAGGGAGCCTCTAGCCCTAACCCCTCTGGGACAGAGCTGCCATGCCTACCAAGCCAGCCTTCCACCCGGTGCCTTGGGCGGCAGCTCCCTGCTCCCACAGGTCGGCCTACCTTGAGACAGCACCCAAGGAGCAGACCACTGAGGAGGGTTCTTTTCCCCTCTCCCTTCACCTTCAGATCTGACACCCCAGGGACATCCTTCTGGGAGCCAGAGGCTACCTGCTCCCAAATGTGGGGGAGAACGGTGCCTAGAGGGTAGGAGGGAAGAAGGGACGGGCAGCACCCCAGGTCCTGCACCTGGAGCTGGTCCCAGGAGCCACCGCTGGGAGGATCTTCAGCCCCATGAGGACTCTGATGGGTAGAATATTCTCCTGGGACCCAGAGGGCAGGGCTCTTTTGTAGATGCTCCCAGCCCACCTGTGCACTGCCAGCCCCATCCACGCAGGGGCCAGTGCTGGATGGCCCTGTGGCGGTTGTGTGGAGGCCTGCAAGGGTGAGCAGCCAAGCTTCTCCTCTCCAGGAGGCACGAAGGGAATAGACCAAGTGGGCGGGTAGCAAGAAAATACCACCCGAAGACCCTCCCTCCACGTTACCCAGGCTCCACCGTCGCCCCAATCTCCTGCCCCTCCTGCCCCGCCTGCTGTCCCCTCAGCCTGGAGGCTCACTCGCCTGCACTCCAGCTCCAGGGCACCTCTCCAGACTCCTGTTAGGGCTCCAGTTCTGTCCTGGGCTCGGGTCTCTTTCAATTGCCAGACAGAAAGCTCCCAGAGGCCGAGGCCAGCTCTTGGAGAGCCTGGTCCCCTGAACCTTGCACAGTGCCCAGCACATAGCAGGTGCTTGGCATTTGCAGAAAGTCTTGAGGCGGAGTGCAGGTGTGTGTGTGTGTGCACATGTATCAGGGGAACAAATTCGTTATGCACCTGTAGGCGCCAGGCCAATGCTAAGCCCTGTGCTCAGGGTATCTCATTTAATCAGCATAATTTGTTTGGTTGCTTCTGAGTAATTCCAGGGTGGCTTTTCACACAGACATTCCTCACCTGGTGTTGGGGTGGGGAGAACTCTATTTCTATTTCTGTCTCTCTCAGTGAAGAGTCCTAGTCACAGGGTCCCTTATCTCCCCTGGCACTTTCCCCCACATTTGGCTGCAGCTAGACACTTTGAAGCTTTTGGTTTGCAAAAGGAACTTGTTGCTTCATATCCAGTCACCTCACCCCTCCCTCTGAGCCCTGCAGACTCCACGGCCTGGGTCACCTCTCCCAGAAGACTTCCTTCTTCCCCCAGACCCCACCCTAGGCTGGATGGGAGGATCCCTGCTTCTTCCTGGATCCAGGGACCCACCTGTTATGGGGCATCTGCTCCCTCTGCCCCTGCCACCAGCAGTTCAAGGGGTCACTTGAGCTAAGGGCCCCCTTCCTGCAACAGCCTACAGTGGCGACAGACCGCATGGCTAAGGAGCTCCCCTGGGCCCCTGCACACACACTCTGCAGCCGGTGTATTTTAATCCATCCCAGCCCCAGCTGAGCATTAGGCAGCACAGTCGGGGGTTGGAGGCACAGTGGAGACTCCACATTGTGATGTTACATCTAGAACAGCTTGTCCAGAAATTGACTCATTTAATCCTCACAAAACCCTAAAAGGCAGTATGATTATTCCTACTTTACAGATAAAAAAATGGAGGCACAAAGAGATGAAGAAACTTGTCCTTGCCCTAGCCAGTATGGCTCAGTGGATAGAGCATTGGCCTGCAGACCGTGGGGCCCAGGTTCGATTCCAGTCAAGGGCACGTACCTCAGCTGCAGACTCGTCCCTGACCCGGGCCCTGGGTCAGGAGGCAACCAAGCCTTGTGTCTCTCTCACATTCATGTCTCTCTGTCTCTCCTCTTCCCTTCCCCTCTCTCTAAAAATCAGTGGAAAAATATCCTCTGGTGAGGACTTTCAAGAGAAAAAAGAAACTTGTCGGAGGCTAAACAGCTAGGAAGTATCCAATACACGTTACTTTCCCCAGCTCTTTTTAGGCCAGTCCCGTGGGCAGACACTAAGGCTGGTCCCAAAGCGGCGGGCATGGGTCAGTGTCCTTATCCGTTTCCTCATTCCTGGGCTGCAGACAGGTGTGCCTTTGCTTCGTAGGTACGGCTGCGGGTGATTTTTTCGATTTTGTGCAAGCATATACCGTCTCATGTTTCGGGGATAAGAGGTATGTTTGTTTTTTGGTTCTCTCCTTCAGCTGCCCTCTGCAGGGGGTGGCCGGAGAAAGGACAAGGACAGCGCCGCTCCAGTGGGGTTTGTGATTCGGGACTTTCCTGGACGGAGGGCCCGGCGCTAGGGCCCGAGCCGGTGCTGCTGCTGCGGGAGGAGCGGCGCCCTGGGCCCCGCGCGGCCTGCGGCCGGCGGGCTGCAGACAGACCCCGCGGAGACCTCGCCAGAACGAAGGCCGTGCGCCCGCGCCCTCGGGGAATGGCCCGCGGCAAACCCAGCGTGGGGCCGGGCGTTCGGGGTGACTGTGTCGGACTCTTGAGACATCTGCATGCAGCTAACTTCATCCGGTTACCTCCTACCTGCACAGACAAAACCAAGCCACAGAGCAATCGCTAGTCGGGTGGGCCCTTCGCCCCCGGGCCGCGCTCCGGGTCCCAGTCGCGGCTGCGAGCTCTGACCTGCACCGGCCTCGCGGCCCCGCCCGGCGCCTGGCCTTTCTGACAACCGCGTTGTGAATCTCTGCCCCGGCCCCTGTGCGGTGACAGCGGCCCCTGCCTCTGCGCAGAGACGCGCACGGTGTGCACAGCCGCCGCCCAGACCCGCTCCTCGCACCCATCCCCCCGCACCCTGTCCAGAGGGGCCTCCGCGGAGGCCACCTCCCTGCCGGGGAATCCCAGCTCCGGGTTTTAAAGGAAGTGAGGGCCTGGTGTCTGGAAGCGTGAACACATCCGGACAGCGAACGGGAGGTCCGGCAGGAGGCGGGCAAATGCGTGTGCGGAGCTCGTGCTTCCCTCCTGGTGTGGCGCCTTCGGGGCCAGCGGGGCGGGTGGGAGACCTCAGACCGAGGAAGCTCCTCGCGGCGGGGCCAGTGCTTCGGCCGAGCGCACAGGACCCTTCAGGCGCCTCCAGGCTGCGAACTCACCCCCCTCCCTTACACCCCCCCCTCCCCGCACCGTGTCGCTCAGCGGCCGGTGGGCGGCCCGGGAACCCGGGAGGCCGGGAGGAGGGCGCCCCAGAAGATGCTGTCCTTTTGGCAACTGGTCCCGGGATGCTGGCTGGCGGACGGCCTGTCAGCTCCCGGGGAAGCAGGACCCGCTCACAGGCCGGCCCACCCCTGCCACTCCCGGTTGTTTCCAGGTCCAGAGAGCAACATGAAAGGCATCCGGTTACCCTGACGTGAGTCAGCTGAGCACAGTTGGGGCTTCTTCCCCGGTGCATGAGGTGGCTGGGGGTGGGGCCCGTGGGGCAGGGACACGAGAGAAAAGGATCTAGACTTTGCAAGAGGAAGAGATGTTGGGGTGCTTCTGACCAACTTCCTAATCACCCTAAGACAAGAAAGCGGGGGCGGGGGAGGGGGGGCGGAGGGGAGACTGAGGCCCTAACCGATTTGGCTCAGTGGATAGAGCATCAGCCTGCGGACTGAAGGGCCCCAGGTTCGATTCCGGTCAAGGGCATGTACCTTGGTTGTGGGCACATCCCCAGTAGGGGGTGTGCAGGAGGCAACTGATCGATGTTTTTCTCTCATGGATGTTTCTAACTCTCTATCCCTCTCCCTTCCTCTCTGTAAAAAAATCAATAAAATGTATTAAATAGAGTAAAACCTTAAAAGAAAGAAAGAAAGGGGCCTGAGTTGCAGAGCCAGGCTAGAACCCAGGGCCAGCTCTCGGAGCACCTCCCAGTGAACCCTGCTCTCTGCTGGCACTGAGATGTGCTCCAAACCCCTTGCCAACGGCCTGGAGGCGCAAGCCCGAGAAGCTTAGTTGGAAACCGACTGTTCAGAACTGAGGCGGGCGGCCTGGCGCTAAAGAAAGTCAGTGCCCTCCTGAGGCCCTTCCTCGGGACACCCACTGGAGCAATCGTTCCCTTCTCTGAATCCCTTCTCTGAATTCCTGCTTCTCAGGGTCTTCCAAGGTAGATTTTAAACGTTAACATTCATTCATCTCTGTCAATCCACGTCTTCCGTCTGTGTCATGCTGCTGCTTCCTGCTCAGAGCACAGATTCCTGAGCAAGTCCCACCTTCCCCTTCATGCCCACCCTCAGAAGTACGTGTCGAATTTGGACGGACACTCCTTCTGGGACAGAAGCCACAGATTTCCAAGGACCGGGGTTGCAGAAGGTCTGAGCACTGATGCCTGGGCCCTCCCCGCTGGGACAAGGGCTTCCACAACCCAGGCAAAGGTGGGAGGGGGAAAGGTGGGGGCTGGTGCCAGATTAACAGGGGCCAATTGAGGTTATTTTCTGAAGCAGGGCAGCGAAAAAGACTTCCTATTCTCCCCCACTACCCTACAACTACCGTTAATGGTTGTATTAGTGAGAGTTTACCATGGGTCAGATGTTTGGATTGTTTCTTTCAATCCCATAGGTAGGAACTACCAAAGCCCCAGATTTAAAGATGGGAAAACCAAGGTACAGGAAGGATGAGTGATGTGCTCAAGGTCTCACAGCTGGCAGGGGGTAAGGCCAGAAGCTGCCATTAACCACTATGCTCTACTGCCACCTCCCTCCAAAGTGATTCCATGGGGGCTTCTCTGCCCTTGATGGGGTGCTTAGGGGTCCTCTGAGCAGAGTTACAAAGGCTGCCTGGGCAAGCTGGGTTGCAAGATTAAGGAGCTTTTTATTTGTTTTGTCACCATAGGACTCCAGTAGTTCCATGACCCCTGAGCTATGAGAAGTCATTGCCCGGCCTACCTTCTTGGGTGCCCCGTGGGCCCCTGAGGTGGAAAGTGGGAGTTAAGAGGACACTGTGAGGAAGGCATCCAGCAGGACCCTGGCGCTGCCTACTAGAGAGTAGGCCATAAAACCCTGGCCAGAGTCCCTGGTTCTTCAAACAGACTGAAACAACAAGGCTGGAAACCAAGCCAGGATGCAGGGCCAGGAAGCCAGAAAAAAATAGGAAAGGTGCCTCCTCTTATCAAGATCACGAGGCCTGGTTCACTGAGCAGCTGGAACAAAAAGTTCCAATTAAAACTCAAAGTAGCCGTTGAAGGAGACAACTTGGGAGGAAAGTATACGGCGCAGCCAGTCCACCCCTTGCCCAGGACACGGCAATCTTTCCTGCATCTGAATGGGGCCTGGAGCCAACAGGAGGGGCCTGTTCGGCTGGGAACCTCCTGAACCTGAAGCTGTCCCAGCTGTCAACACCGATGTCTTTCTACCTCTGTGACATTTACTGGGCTATTCATTGTTCTAATTTCTTAATCAAGGGAAAATGAAATAAAAAAGTCTCGGGAAATTTAGAAAGCACAGCGCAAGAATACTTCAGAAAGGTGACTCAGTGCTTCTTCATTTCACAAAGGGAACCAGAGATTTTGCAAACACAATGTTGTTCCCTCTAAATAAGTGGATCGAACCAGGAGACTGGTACAAACATTTTGCTGAAGGCCCAGGGGTCCGTTTTAAGACTGATAGGACTAGGGCTCCACCTTTTCGGAAACGGTTGAGTACAGGATGGCCAAGGGAAACGACGCGCTTCTGCGGAGGGCCTCAGGCTGGCTCAGGCCTGGTAGCAGGGCGTCCTCTGGAACACCAGGAAATGTTGAACTATCTTTTAAAATATATTTTTATTGACTTCAGAGAGAAAGGGAGAGGAGAGAGAGATAGAAACACCAATGATGACAAAGAATCATTGATCAGCTGCCTCCTGCACACCCCCCACCCCGACACTGGGGATTGAGCCAGCAACCCAGGCATATACCTTGACAGGAATCGAACCCGGACCCTTCAGTCCGTAGGCAGATGCTCAATCCATTGAGCCAAATCGGCTAGGGCAATGTTGAACGATTAATCCATCTCATGAACCAGAAGCAATACTGCCAACAAAATTCTGCCTGTGAATAGGACATGAAATCACAATCAAAAGCAAGTGTCCAAAAAAAGCTCTCATTCACAGCATGATCAATTTTTTTTTTTAGCTTTTCTATTAACATCCATTTGCTCTTATAAATGTATTTTGTAAAACATATATGGATACTAACTATAATTAGTCAAGAAATTGGAAG